CCGCTGCCAAGTACCACTTTCAAGGTCAGCCTCAGGCTCCACACACGCACGCACGCACGCACGCGCACACGCACACACGCGGCTGAGAAGGCAGCACTCCGGAGTCGTATATTCTAATAGCCCAGGTTCGTTTCCCGTCCGAGGCAGAAGCGAATGGGCAGTTTATTTTACCTGATGACCCTGTTCACCTTGGAGTAAATAGATGCCCAGGAGTTAAGACAGCTGCTAGGAGCTGCATTCTTAGGATGTGTATGTGTTAGAAAGAAATATGTAGTCAGTATACATGACATCCGAGGGTTAGAAAGGCGGGGTCCAAGAGCTACACCGCGATAGATACTGCAGGCACAAATTATACAAATAGTAAATAATTGGTATTGCACTCGCACACTCGCTCTCGTTCTGTCTATCCGTCTTGCCCTTCATCTGTCCACTTTTACCGTCCCATTTGTTGTTCCGTCTTCCGCTCCCTCCGTCCCGTCTCCTCCTCCCTCCGTCCCGTCTCCTCCTCCCTCCGTCCCGTCTCCTCCTCCCCCCGTCCCGTCTCCTCCTCCCCCCGTCCCGTCTCCTCCTCCCCCCGTCCCGTCTCCTCCTCCCCCCGTCCCGTCTCCTCCTCCCCCCGTCCCGTCTCCTCCTCCCCCTTCCCGTCTCCTCCTCCCCCCGTCCCGTCTCCTCCTCCCCCCTCTCGTTCAGGTCCGTTCCGCCGCCCGTTCCGTCCATTCCACCGCCCGTCCCGTCCATTCCACCGCCCGTCCCGTCTCCTCCTCCCCCCTCTCGTTCAGGTCCGTTCCGCCGTCCGTTCCGTCCATTCCACCGTCCGTTCCGTCCATTCCACCGTCCGTTCCGTCCATTCCACCGTCCGGTCCCGCCTCCCGTTCCGCAAGTTCCGTTCAATTATAATAACTCCAATAAGAAAAGTTCCAACACGCAAAATATATATATATATTTTACGGGTTAATTTGTTGGCCAGAATTACTGAGATTTTTTAACTGCAATAATAATTCGTATTTTTTTTTTTTTAACAATAAATATTGGACCAACTGGGTGGGGGGGGGGAAGGATGGGTGCTGTATAAAGTGAACATTTATATTGAGTTCGGACCAGAGCCCAGACACCCCCCCCCCCCGAGGTTTTAAAGAGTGACGGGTGTGGCCTGTGAGGTTTTTAAGGCCACATCTCTGACCCGAGAGATGTTTCGGGTAAGCCGAAGGTCTGCTTCGACGGATCGGTCTTGAGAACATTGAATATGACTCTTGAAAGCCTCCCTTGAGGAGGAGTGCGAAGTCCCACATTATTCGACATTCGCGTGAATGTCTTGGCTAATAATGAATTTGCGGAAGATTACAACTAGTGGGATATGCTGATGTGCTGAGGCAAGCCAAACAAGATCATTCCCCACACTAAACACTGACTTGAAAGGTCAGTACAGGTCGGTACAGGTCGGTACAGGTCAGTACAGGTCAATACAGATCAGTACATTTACTTGAAAGTTAATGTACTGACCACGTTTCCAATCGCATTATAAATAAGACGACACTAGAATAATGACAATATTCTTAAAGCTGTATGAAAAGGCTTGAAGGCATACACAATGAAGCAATGGCAATAATTCTTGGAGCCGCAGAAACTACCAGAATATCGAATCTTGGAGAAGAGTTCCCTCTCTCTCTCCCCAGTGTTGATAGAAGAGTTAAGGAACTAAATGCTAAGCTTGAAGTTAGTTTTACCAACCTCTACAATGACAGTGTCAAGAAAAATTAAATTCACCCTCTCTCACCCTCCACTCGTGGAGGGTGAGAGGTGGTGGTCAGGGGGTGGTGGTGACACAGGGTGAGAGGGGGTGGTCAGGGGCGGGTGTTGACACAGGGTGAGAGGGGGTGGGCAGGGCGGGTGTTGACACAGGGTGAGAGGGGGTGGTCAGGGCGGGTGTTGACACAGGGTGAGAGGGGGTGGTCGGGGCGGGTGTTGACACAGGGTGAGAGGGGGTGGGCAGGGCGGGTGTTGACACAGGGTGAGAGGGGGTGGGCAGGGCGGGTGTTGACACAGGGTGAGAGGGGGTGGTCGGGGCGGGTGTTGACACAGGGTGAGAGGGGGTGGGCAGGGCGGGTGTTGACACAGGGTGAGAGGGGGTGGGCAGGGCGGGTGTTGACACAGGGTGAGAGGGGGTGGGCAGGGCGGGTGTTGACACAGGGTGAGAGGGGGTGGGCAGGGCGGGTGTTGACACAGGGTGAGAGGGGGTGGGCAGGGCAGGTGTTGACACAGGGTGAGAGGGGGTGGGCAGGGCGGGTGTTGACACAGGGTGAGAGGGGGTGGGCAGGGCGGGTGTTGACACAGGGTAAGAGGTGGTGGTCGGGGCGGGTGAAGCAAGTAAGAGAACAGTAGTCGGTAGTGATGTGTATCCGTGACTGGTGGTGGTGGTGGTGTGGTGAGTCTCTCTCTCTCTCTCACTTCTCTCATTCACTCTCTCTCTCCTTCATTTTTTCACGGACTTCCTCAGTCAATCCCTCCCTCCTCTTCCCTCTTCTTTCCTCTCTCTTTTCCCTCCATCTTTTCCTTACTCGGGCCTTGTCACCACATCAACACACCAGCAACACCCCAGTGTTCCTCGCCTCCAGTGACAGCCCGCAGGAGCCATGTGGACCTAACATCAGTGTATTCCTCCACTTGCAGCAGTCGCTATCGCTGATATCGATATTAGTCGATATCAGCCTGTCCTGCAGTGAACAGTCGCTGGAAATGACTGGACAGGCACTGAACTGACTGCTGGCGAAAATCCAGAAATAATAAATGCACTGAAACAGTTAACAAAGTTGTATTATGTTTTGGTTACAGTCTATCAACGTATTGTCGCGTTGCCTTGACTCTGGTCAAGGTTCCAAGTGCGTTCGAATTATCCCGCGCTAGTGTTTGCAGTGATTCGAACAGTTGGCGGGAAATGGAAGGGACCATGCAGCTTGTGCAACCCGTCCTCTAAACAAAGACCCAAAGTCCATTCCATGCACCCGCCACCCGTTTATGAATGAAAAACGGTTTACAAACAACCCGTCCTCGACTCAAGTCCATTACATCCAGCGGTCGACCCCACAGACGCATTCATAAATTTTAACATGCTGTTCATTCAAAACGAGAATTTTCTCAAGTATAAATTAATATTATAATATATTAACATATTGTGTATATATAGGCATAGGATAGGTTAGGTCAGGTGTTTAGGTTCTGTTGGCGATTATTTGTATTTGTAGTACGTGGGTGAAGCATTTATAGCGTTGTGATTCGAATAAAATTCGTCAGTGAAGCACTTGTTCCGGAAGTGTTCGAACGAAATCAGTTGAGAGTCGTGTGTAAACTGCTTTTCATTCATAAACAGGGGATTTGGCGGGTGCATGGAATCACTTTTGGATCTTTGTTTGGTGGACGGGCTGTTACAAACGACTCACAACTGATGAGGTCCTAACACTTCCGGAACAAGTGCTTCGCTGACGACTTTTATTCGAACCGCAACGCTGTAAATGATTCACCCACGTACTGTAAATACAAATAATCGCCAACAGAACCTAAACACCTAACCTAACCAGTGCCTATATTTGCACAATATGCCAATATATAATAATATTAATTTATATATGAGAAAAGTTCTGTTTTGAATAAACAACGTTAAAATTGATGAATGCGTGTTTGGGGTCGACCGCTGGGTGGAATGAACTTGGTATGAGGACGGGTTGGCTTGTGTGTGTTTGTACTCAGCTAATTGAACTTGAGGGTTTGAGCTTCAGCTCTTTGGTCCTGCCTCTCAACTATCAATCAACTGTTGTGTTTTGTGTGTGTATTCACCTAGTTGTGCTTGCGGGGGGTTGAGCTCTGCTCTTTCGGCCCGCCTCTCAACTGTTAATCAACTTGTCACTATCTTCTAACTAATTTTTTATTTTTTTTTCCTCCCACCCACCCACCCACACACACACACACACACACACACACACACACACAGGAAGCAGCCCGTAGCAGCTGTCTAACTCCCAGGTACCTATTTACTGCTAGATAAGACGGGCATCAAGGTGAAAGAAACTCTACATCCATCATTCCATTTTACATCCATTCCTGTGAGATCCGCCAATTTATCCCGATACAGTTACGAAATAATCCCCCATAGGAGCGTAAAATTTCTTCCATGTAGAATGGAAGTGTCGACGTTCTTGGCGTGTGATAATGCATTCAAAAGGAGAAGAGGAAGAGAGTAAAAGAGAAGAGGGAGTAGTATAGAGGTGAAGGAGAGGGAGTAGTATGGAGAGGGAGAGGTGGTCTAGGAGGTCGTAGGCAAGGAGGGACGACCAAGGCGAGTGTGGTAGTTCCAGCTGGCTGTAAAGAATATTGACTACTTCAAGGTCATATTGCCAAGGTGTCTTATTTGGTTTATTAGCCATACAAAAATTGGCATCAATAAATAGTGAAGAAAGTACGACGATTGAATCTATAGTTGAGACGAGTCGAGCTCACTACACAACAGGTTTCCAGTTGACACAAATGAAACATTTTCATGACGTTACAGTGATAGTCGCTGTACTTCCTGTATCCCATATTTACTGTGTAAGATTCTGGCCACAATTATGACACAACACTCTCCTCCTTTGACTAGTTTAAGGACAAGTTAGAGTAATAATTATCTTAAACAGCTAAGTTTCATTAAATATTTCCCTCACGTGAAAAACACATGAAAAACACGGTTTTTAAAAAAAAAAAAAAAAAAAAAAAATTCCCGTCACAGACGTGACATCTATATAGTATGTATAAAAAAAAACGCTCGGATGCAAATGGAACGTTGTGTGAAAATTTCAAAGCACTCAGTGAAGAACTTTCGGAGATTAGCGATTTTGAACAAACGAACATTTCCATTTATATAGATATATATGCGAACAAGCCTGAATGGTCCCCAGGACTATATGCATCTAGGACTATATCTGGGGTGTGAGTTTTCAGTTATATAGATATATTTAAAATTGAATTTACAGGACTCAGAGAAACGCGGAAGGAATGTCGTCGCAGACGTTATAGCTCTGCCGAAGTGAGTCTTAAGTGCTGAGAAGATCGACATGTTCAAAAGGTCACCGTTGGACTAGAGTTGAATAGTAAAATAATATCTTGAGGCATCGCAGGCTCCTCGTCTCCTGGCGTGACGGGAGACCTGCAGGGAGGCGAGCCAGATAGTCTTGTCCGGCCTTTGTCCCTAAAGGCCGGAGGAAGGCCTGGCCCTATGTAGCTGTAATGCCTCGGCCAAATATAGCCTAAAACAAAACAAAATTAAACTGTCGTGGATGAGACAAATAGATGTTGATCAATATTTTTATGGCTCGGAAGATATATGAAAATATAGTGTCTTTAGGGTATGTATTATCCATACCTAAGATAAATAGTATTGACCAAGAACTCATAAGTGTAGCAACAGTGGCATCTTCCTGACAATTTCAGTCACTAGGGAATACATATGTGAGCGACGGACGGGTGGCCAAGTGTGGTTACGGGAGTCGGCGTGACCGCGGCTCCACGGGATCCGTCCTCGTTGCCTTCTCTGTACACCAGAGGCCGCCGTAGCGAATGAAGCTAAAGGCAAAGTTGAAATCTTTGCTTCTAATTCGTGGTGGTTACTGGCCACAAGACCACCAACCTCACTGCCACAGCCCTACCACCACCAGTACCACTGCCACCACCACTGCCACAACAACCACTGCCATCACCACCACCACTACCACATCTACAACCACCACCACATCTACAACCACCACCACCATGCCACGGGATTACCGATCAGCCAGCAAGTCCATGATGGACCTGAGTGGCCGCACTCACGACGACGACCAGGATCCGCTCCACCGGGCTCGCTCAGTCTGGGACGTCGGCCACAGAAATATAGTCCCGCGGAGACGTAAGGTTAACTCCTTCACTCCGTCTGATCAAGAGATTGAATCCCTCTCCCGGCCCAAGTCCCTTCCCGCCACCTCTCTCCAGGAAGGGCGCCAGCGCCCTAAGTCCCTTCCCGCCACCTCCCTCCAGGAAGGGCACCAGCGCCCCAAGAGGACCTCGGCTATCCAATGGGCCGCAGGTGTGGGCCGAGACGACGCCGGGAAGGCCACCACTGGTGGGACCCTTACCGTCTCGAGGGCGGGAACGCCACACCGGCTCTCCAGCAGCTCCACAACATCCAATCCCGTCACGCCCTCGTCGTCGGGCGACGGGCTCGACCCTGAAGTGTTCAGGAGTGACGTCAACATAACGGAGGCTCAGTCTATGATGTCCCTGTCTCGACCCTACAGGACCAGCAACTGCTCCGACGACGAGCCAAGAGGATTCCGCAAGAAGCCCAGCAGTGCCTTGTAAGTGTCAAATCTGAGTAATAATTTGTAATATTTGCTAGATGCATATTGTCCAATACCCAACAGCCTGTTGAGGGTATAGAATCTGTCCCCAATGAGCGTAGTGCTGCCATCTCATCACGGTCAGGTCAAGTTCTCCAAGGATGGATTTGAGGGAGAATTACATACCCATTTAAAACTCCTTCGTGTTTGCACACACACTCATGCACACCCCTACCTCTTCTTGGATCTATTCCTTGAGCCGAGAGTGGAGATAGTGTGTACACTATCACCACCTGCACTATTGTCAGAGTTATTAATGCGTAACACTTGTGTTACACATCCACTCCAGGTAGCAGAGGGTCGACTCTGCCACGAGAATCAGACGTCGACTGTCCTGTAACAAATAGCCCTCGGGCACACAGTAAAATAAACCAGGGTCACGCCTTTAAGGGTCACAGTCCTTGTGTCACAGGCCCCGTGATATCTGTGATAACGTGATAACAGATTTCCGTGATAATAGAAATAGTTATGTTATCGATAGGAGCCAATTTTAGACAATAGGGTAGGGGAAGAAAGGACTTAGCATTTATTGTTGGCCTACATTCTAAATGTAATAATATAACGTTATAACTCTCTATGAAAGTTATACTGGTCTAAAAAGCAGTATAACTTACACTGTAATTGTAAAGCAACAGTAGCTCTTAATATTGGATCACATTACTGCATGTTTTGTAATAATTTTCCTTTAACTGCAAATCATGTATTTGTCCCCATACTCTACACCTCACTGACAACCATTATTTTCTTTTCTCGTTTCTCTCATTCCCCGTGACTATAACTATTGTCTCTCTCCCTTTCCCCCCTTCAGACATGCCTTGAAGTTGACCAGACCACACACTAGAAGGTGAAGGGACGACAACGTTTCGGTCCGTCCTGGACCATTCTCAAGTCGATTGTGAATCGACTTGAGAATGGTCCAGGACGGACCGTAACGTCGTCGTCCCTTCACCTTCTAGTGTGTGGTCTGATCAACATAATTTAGCCACATTATTGTGACTCATCGCCTGCATGCCTTGAAGGACACGCTTCTCATACTAACACCCTTTCGTCTTCACCTCAAACATTCCTTGAAGGATCCGCTGCTGTTACTAACGCCATTGCATCTCTCCCTCAGACATGCCTTGAAGAACCTGAGTCGCAGCACGCCGGCAATGTCACCGTCGGTGTCGCCTCGCCACAGCGACAGCGAGGGGCCTCCGCGGGTGTCGAAGGGCACCAAGAAGTTCATGCGACACTTCGCTGACGCTCCCCCAAACGAGTGGGTCCTGAACTGTGAGTTCTCTTGCCCGCCTAGTCCCTTGGGTGAGGTCGCTTGGCGGCAACTTATCTGTTTGGTATATTTTGTCGCGGCATTTATCACTCATTCCATCTGTATATATGCTTGGTATGTTGTCACGGTATATGTTACCCGTTACGTCTGTAAAGGCTTGTGTCTGTTTAGCATATTCTTCAGTGTAGCAGTTGGCTTGTTCCACCTGTCAGTACAGTGGTTCACGTCCTCGACTCACAATGTAGGATCCCGGGTTCGAGCTCATACCGGGATATGTATGGCTGGGCACGTTTGCCTTTAGTAAAAAAATGAAAAAATATATACGAGGGAGCTCAACTGTAGTAGGCTGGATTCTTGTAATGGTCAGTATTTGGACTTGGGAGAATCTAGGTGAGCTTAAACGCCCTCTTCAGGCCTCCGACAGTGGGGAATATAGGCTGTAAGTTGCATATTTCTTGGAATAATCCTCTTGGACTGGTCGAACATATGTTGCGTATGTTATTAACAATGATAACCTTGGGTCAGGCTTTGAAAGCCATCCTTATGTTTGCGATTCCTCTCTCAGCAGCTCGTGTTATAATGTTGCTGCGTGGCTCTGGTGGCGTGGGCGGGACTTGTCGTACACATGCAGTCCTTCCTGGTGGACTGTTTCGTCACTCTGGTCTCCTTGGTCCACGCCCAAACCTTGGTTTTAAAGGTTTCAGGGACTGAACTCAAAAAGTCATTTGTCCGGTCGTTCCGGCAGCCAGTCAAGGTGCTGTTGTACCATTCCACCCTTGCATCATGAATAGGAGTGGACCAAGTAACTCATGGGGATCTTGCCGACACTTGTCCCTATTCCTGACACTTGCCTCCACCCCTGACACTGGCCTCCACTCCTGACACTTACCTCCACCCCTGACACTGGTCTCCACCCCTGACACTTACCTGCACCCCTGACACTTCCTTTATCTCTCTCAACAGCTCTTTGTATCCGGTTTGTCAGATTCTCCGTAATCCAGCCCAGTAACCCCCCCCCCCTCCCCCTCCCCTTTGTTATCTCAGGCTACGTTTTTATCCTCCAGATAAAGACTCTTGCAAGGGACCATGTCAAAGTCTTTTTGACAATCTAGAAAGATGCAATCCTACCTTTCCGTATCTAATATTATGACGTCTTGGCGACCTTATCGTAAAACTTAAGAGTACTTTTGTTAAGGATTCTTTTCTGGCTATAAACCCCAATTGTGTGTCCCGGTTACAGAGTGTGTCGTCTTCGAAGTGTGTACAAAGAGTATCTCCTTCGTTTTACGAGGTACATATCGGTGACAAAGTGCGTCTGCGCGCGCGCGTGTGTGGAGTGGGACCCGCGACCTTCAGGCTTAAACTGTCAGGGGGAGGTATTGACAACATTGTCAGGGGTACCCCGACCACAACATTGAGAGGGGAGAAGACTGCAGGGAAGTAGTCTCGGACGCAGGTTCGAATCCTCGTCACGGCCCTTGTGGATTTGTTTACAGAGAAGAAGAAGCAGGAGAGGGAAAAATGGAGGGGAGGGAAGGAGACAGTGTGTGTATGTGAGAAAATGAGTGAGAAGAAGAAGAAGAGGGAGGAAGGAGCGAGAACGAGAGGTAGAGAAATTATTGTGCGTGTCTTAGTTAGTTTTACTTAATATTTTGTCGCTCAGGTGTCTATTTCTGGCTACACTACCGTCAAGGGGAATACTTTCATTCGTTTAAAATGTGTGTGTTGTTTTTGTCGCAGTTGAAGGCAGTAATGGTATTGCATGCATTAACAAATGGTTTAGTTTAACACACGCTCATCTACACAAGTGTTGATAAACCCACACCTACACCTACACAAGGGTTGGTACACATACACACACACCTACACTAACCCACCATAATTAGCAGGTGACGAGAAAGACACAAAATGTATATCACGCCTCGTCACATGGAGTACCACAGCGATCAGAGATCTTGTCTTGAAACCCAGAAATCTTGAGAAACCTTAAGAAATTGTTTGGCGCTTTCACCCCGGGAGCTGATGGGTGTCCGATGCACGGGGGGACAAAAGTGTACTTATGCGGCAGTTCTCTGTAATTGGGAGTGTTGCCTAATCTGTAATTGTGAGTGTTGCCTAATTCCGCGTGCGTGGCAGCGCCACCTGCATGTCCAACACTGCTGGTAATGCAGGTATCACAGTCAACCAAGGCCGTTGTCCCCCACCAGCTGTCTGCCTCCTCTTTTTTTGTGTCCAAGGTTGCGCAGTGATTACGTGTGGACGCCCAGCTGGAGTAGCAGTACATGGTTAGAAGGATTAACATATCTATCCACTCATGGGAGTTTGGACTCCCAGGTTGCGTGAAGGTCCTCCCTCTGGTGTTGTGCGACGTGGCACTATTCATTCTATACTTCGCGTGGGAACTTGTGATGGATGGATGGATGTTGTGTTGGTGGTAGATGATCGTTTCTGTCATTAGCCAGGCACTAGTGGTGGTGTTAGCCCCAAGGGCACGAAGCATCACAGGTCGATGGCTCCGTGTTGAGAGGTGACGCAAGAGATAGCTCCGCCTGCAGCCTGGTAGGAAATCTTGACACGAGGCTCCACAAACACCGGTGAAGTGACCTTGCCGGGGATTTAGCGAGCATGCAAAGTTTCTTTGGTTAAAGAGTATTATGGCGTTCGTGCACACGGTGGGACCGCTTCAAGGGACGTGGTAGATGTCGTGACTTGAGTAGATTATAGTAATAACAGCATTAAATATTTATATCATGGCTGCTGCCGCTAATACTTTCACCGCCGCTTCTTTTAATACTCGTGCTTTTACGTCTCTTCAATTACTCATGGTGATAAATATATAGAAATTCAACCAAAAAAAATTTTTGGTTTTATCACTCAACTTGGTTCAAATCCGTGAAGTCTTGAGTCCAAGTCTTGAGAGGTGGTACACAAACGTAGACACACAAACAATAGTACCGTATCATTCTCCAGAGGCGGCACTAATGTGTGTGTGTGTGTGTGAGAGAGAAGCGTCTACAGAGACGCCGAGAATGATCCAGGACGGACCGAAACGTCGTCGTCCCTTCACTTTCTAGTGTGTGGTCTGGTCAACATGTCTACAGAGAACATCATGATATGAACCATGTATTCCAAAGGCAACAGAAAACAATATGATCATTAAACACAGACTTCAGCTATTGGGCTACTGAGGTCGGGTGGGTGGTAGTAGTGGGTCCGGCAATGTGAAAAAATCGCGGAATTCAGAGATAACACCATCAATGATGTCCAAGAAATGTGGATGGACTTCATTCATAATGATGTGCTGGCCGAAATTTTTGCGAAGTATCCAAAATTTACTTACTGTAGGTAATGCATGCACATGACTGTAAAGCTGCCGCCCAGTTGGGTGGGTGTGAAGCACATGACTGTAAAGCTGCCGCCCAGTTGGGTGGGTGTGAATCACATGACTGTAAAGCTGCCGCCCAGTTGGGTGGGTGTGGAGCACATGACTGTAAAGCTGCCGCCCAGTTGGGTGGGTGTGAAGCACATGACTGTAAAGCTGCCGCCCAGTTGGGTGGGTGTGGAGCAAGACTAGTAACTGTGTGACTCACCATAGATGTAAAGTGCCTTGTATAGTGACTGTTGTGAGCCTCTTGTTGAATCACTTGTGATACAAAAGATTATTGATGTGTGTGTATTTGTGTAGGTGATTGAATATGTATGTGTATGTATATGTGAATATGTATATATATATATATATATATATATGTACGTGTACATGTATATATATAACATTAATAATTGTTTGACTAGCGTCAAAAGATTATTTGCTTAGCTAAACGAACTTGAGGTTATCTTGAGATGATTTCGAGGCTTTTAGTGTCCCCGCGGCCCGGTCCTCGACCAGGCCTCCACCCCCAGGAAGCAGCCCGTGACAGCTGACTAACACCCAGGTACCTATTTTACTGCTAGGTAACAGAGGCATAGGGTGAAAGAAACTCTGCCCATTGTTTCTCGCCGGCGCCTGGGATCGAACCCAGGACCACAGGATCACAAGTCCAGCGTGCTGTCCGCTCGGCCGACCGGCTCCAAGGGTTCAGTTCCTGAACCGATTATGTGCCTCTGTAACCCTTTACACCACCGCCCACGGGATGGGTATGGGGGTGCATAAGAGAAATTGAAATGAGAGAACAGGTGGGTGGTAAAGGGTACGGTATTACGAGTGTGGTGGTGGTAGAGGGAGAAGGTTCAGACCCTTGTGATAGCGTGCACAGTATCTGCTGGTGGTGACTGCTCACAAGATACCAGGTGGCGGGTTGGTACCTGGCCACAAGGGCACTCAAGATAACCCCGTCACTCTACCCCCACACATGTCTTCTAAACTTGGCTACGTCTGGTTTTTATTGTCAGCCATTTTGGTCAATTCAAATGGAGAAAGATGTGTGGATGCTTCCCTCATTTAACATCTTCAAAAACTGATCACTTCGGTATTTTCTCACAGATATTTCACTCGTTCTTGTCATTTTAGTATTCAACGTCTAATTACTAATAAAGAAATAGTTAGATATTGCTTATATTTCCCTTCGTAAGATAAGCTTGGCTCGCCACACTGGCAACACGTGAATTTAAACTCTTGGCGCGCAACAACGGTCGTCGGGTTTCCCGCGCTCCCGGCTCGTATATCCATACACCACAGGAAAGGAACGGAGACAAATCTTGTTTAGATGTGATAATGGCTTCCTGTTAGCGGGAGGGTAGTCGAGATGTTTACCTCGTGATTTCCAGTATTTGCTTCCTTTGTTGTGTGTTGGGTATGAAGAGGGTGCCATTGCTCTCATCAGTTAATGCAACAGAGCAGTCAATTGCGTTACAAAATTGTCACTCAATATTGTAACTGTTTTTTTCTGAATACGGTTCAAGTTTCAATTTGCTTTAGTAAACAAGTATACTGGCTTATCACTCTCCTCATAATTACCTTCTGGGCTGGGCCCCTCATGAGCTGTGGGCTCTGTAAATACTATAC